ATGCGCAGGAACACCCATCGCGGAATACGTCGGATTGAGACCCAAGATGTATTCTATCCTGAAAGCCGACAACGGCGAGATATGAAAGGCGAAAGGGGTCAAGAAATACGTGGTGAAACAACTCATCAAACACACCCTCTTCAAACAGGCTCTCTTCGATAAACGCACGTTCAAACACCCCATGAACACGTTGAGAAGCGACAAACACACCATCTATGGCATCACTCTCAACAAGACGTCGCTGTCGGTCATGGATACCAAACGGTGGATGCGAACGATGGTATCCACACTTATGGCTATGAATACCAACAGTAGACCTCGACGCGTTGGGAGTTTCCGAGACCCCCAATAAAGGAAACTCCACTCAGTGTGTCGAGGACTAGACAGACTATTGAATGGATGATAGCGTGTATACATCATGGAGAAGGTTTACTACAGCCCCCGGGGTTACTGGAAAGGTGTGGGCGCCATCCCGAAGCTAGCCAGCTCCCCGATACATCCCGAGAAGAAAGTTTGACATTTCCGCACCCAATCGTACCCATCAAGCCGACCTCCTGTTTCTCCCGCACGACAGGGTGAGAAACAAAACATTCAAGTACGCCCTGACCGTCGTGGACATTGCCAGTCGCTACAAGGAACCGGAGCCGCCAACGACCAAAGATTCGAGTCAAGTCGCTAAGGCCTTAGAACGTATCTACAAACGCAGTCGCTTGACCTGGCCGACTGAATTACAAGTCAATCCCGGATGCGAGTTCATGGAGGCCGTGTGGCAGCTGTTATCGAAGCATAAAGTCCAGGTGAGACAGGGCGTGGCCAGAGCTCACCGAAGCCAAGCCATCGGCTGCGCCATCGCGTCACAGCCAAGAGAAAAACTACCGGACCGGGTCGTTGTGAGGTATCTGTACCAGCCCGTCGAACTCGAAGGAGGGGACAAACGTCACACCACAGACCCCGTATGGTCCATGAAAACATACCACATCGACCGAGTGGGCATCAAAGACAATGAACCGAATTTGTACTACTTGCAAGACGGACCGGATAAGGGATTCGTCCGAGAGGAATTACAAATCGCGCCCTTATTAAAGATTCGTTGTATGTTTCTCATACATGTGGAGAACGGTTGTTCAGATGCATCGGGGTGGACGTCCATGGACTCGATATTTACTCAGCCCTGCATCGAGTGATAAGTCGAGGGAAATTCACCAGCCTGTACGATAGTTTAGGTCTCATGGGCACCGAACGGTTACAACGCCTCATGGATACGTTAATCGATTATAGCTTCGAGACCCGAGAATGCGATGTCTCGTACTCCTTAATCCACTTCGAGGAATTCATGGCAGACCTACTCCATAAAGTCTTCGTCGAATATTACGGCTACATTTAAATCCCAATCCAAACTCCGTTGCTAAGCTCGGTCTAGGCTGGAGGCACATCGATGGATGCCTCGCGCTACACCCTCGCCGTTTTTTAAGGGGGGCTGGGAGGCTTAAGTCCCATAAATAAGCCTCTAAGCCTCATGTGATGCAGAACCCCCATTGTACTACTACTCTGCTATGTAGGACAAAGGACACCAATGTCCTTACAAGGGCTCGCTTCCATCCACTTTTACTGGATCTGATCATGTTTTCGGATACATTGACGGGCTCCTACATGGAACACTTTCAAGTACAAGCCCAGTGGACTTTACGGAAGAGCTCATTCCACGCCTTGGAGATGTTAGCGATATTAAAAGCACTCCAACACTGGACTTTGCTGCTACATGGGAAAAGTATTATGTTGGTGACAGACAACTCTACAGTGGACGCGTACATCAACAAACAAGAAGGACATCTTCTCCAGATAACTCAGCAGCTTTTTATGATCAGCGACTCGATGAAGTGTTTTGTAAGAGCTCAAAACATACCGGAACGAGTGAACATCCTCTCTGACTCTTTGTCCAGACAGGATCGAGTGATCATGACAGAGTGGACCTTACACAGCGATGCCTTCAATCTGTTTGGAGAGACCTGGGAAGTTCCCATGATAGACCTATTCACGGCTTGTCACAACAATCAGCTACCAGTCTGTCAGTCCAGTACCAGAACCATCAGCTTGGGCAGTGATCGCGATGTCAATATCTTGGGACATAATGATAGCTTACACCTTCCCTCCATTTAAGCTGATCCCAGAAGTCTTGTCCAAGATTTACCAGCACAACTGTGTAATCTACCTGGTAGCACCAGCTTGGCCAACCAGATTGTGGTTCATGACGCTATTAGACCTATTTGTAATAGATGCCTGGTGCTTGAGGTGTGTTAGACAGACACCCAGTGGCAGCAGAACAAGGGAAATTTATATGGCAAGGGTCAGATGGCTACTGAGTGTGCTTTGCATTGTGTTCTCTCTCCCTTATTTTATGTGGTCAGTACTCCTTGCCTACTTGTTCTGTAAAAGGTTCCTGGCCGGGTGTTCCAATTTCCTTAATTATAGACACAACACAAGAAAATTTAGTTTCCATTCATTTTATTAGAAAAACAGTGGTGTAAAATATAAATAAAGCGGCAAGCCAGTACAGGAAAACCTAAAAAAAGAAAAACTGCATATTTCTCACCCTCCCACACCTACATAAATCCTCCTTCAACTTCATTAAACCTCCTATTAAATCCACCCCACTAACCTAACACCCAAAATGAAATATCAACAAAATAAACCTACTCGTTCCTACTCTGTTTCCCCCCCTCCCACAACTATCACTAAATTAATATATCTCCCCAAAAAACAAACATGAATTGGAAACCTAATGTGGTCTTGGTGCAAGACGCAGTAGTCGCTAGACAACTTACCCGATGCGGGTACGGGACGACTGACGATAAGCTAGGCTTATATAGTCAACATTGGGGCCATGTGAATGGGGAAACACAAACAGACAATGCGCATGCTTCTGACATCTCTGCCCCTCATGCTGAGCATGCAAGAAGCGTGACATTGTCCTGTCTTCCTGGTCACCAGGCCCACATAGGCATAAGCTGCTACAATAAAGGACTACAAAGGTAGGTACTATGTTTGCAGCCCGCACAAATGCCTTACACTACCCCACCCACTACATGATAATTTAACATAATAATTTAATACTCAAATCCCAGGAGGCCCACATAATGATAGACACTCCTTTACAACTTGCTCTGTAGCACAATCTACTGAGACAGCTGAAGTGGAACAAATTCCATGACAACATCCAACAGCATCAGCACGTGTGGAAACTATCTGCAGTTCACTCAAACAACAAAGATTTACGACAGATAGTGTCATACAGTGGCCATTACTCAGTCAGTCAGACCCTCTACAGCTGCCTTATATAATGCTAAACGGAACAGATTCATCCAGTGGAGATAAGACAGACAACTCATTGACTCTCCAATATTTATTCCATTAATTGCAGAATTCCTATTATATCTGAGGAAAAGCTTGGCACTATTGAGGGCTTTAGATATTCCATTGCTTCAATATGTGACATTCAGGGACTGGCAGTAGGCTCTAATAGTTTTCTTCATAAACTAATCAGATCCTTCCAGATTAAAGATATACTGTCACCAGCAGTCTTTCGTAAGTGGTATTTAGTGGTCTTTCAATCCCTACAGAGAGCACCCTACGAACTGATGCAAAATACATCACTGAAGTATGTATCCTTTAAGACAGTCTTCTTGATGGCATTTGCTACCGCTTCAAGAGTCTCCACCTCCTCCAGATCAGACAGGTCTAGACTATTCTGTCCCATACGGGCCTTAAGATGGTACATTCAAAGAACAAGCAGTTTTAGACGGAATCGTTGCCAACTTTTTATATCTTGCATCATACAGAACATCAGGATGTCAACTGGATGAACTGACCGGGACTGTGAGGGATAGAGACCAAGACTTCATCGTAATATGAATGGAGGGGGTCTCTTCTGAATCTTATTACTAACAAGGAATGCTCACAAGTTAAAGTTATTATTCTCTAGTTATGTAACCTCCGACAGGATGTGACGTCATAACCGGAAGTGATGTCAACTGCTGCCTTTTGCTATTACGGATTTTAAAATATTTTCCTTTGATTTTGATATTTATATGTAACTGACAAAGTTATGAATCCAAATTCCAAGTTCTTGTTTTCATAGTTCAGTGACTGTCTTGTGTACAGACGGACAGATCAAGTTGGACTTTAGGTAACAATCTGATGATTTGTTCTTTCAAATTTGTGTGGATTTTGTCCCAAAAGATCTTCCCACCAATGCACAAATACATCAGACAACTTTCCCATCCGATCCTTGTTCCCCAGAAGTGCATAGAACTTTGCCTTTCCTGTATACAACTTCCATTCTATATAGATAGATATCCAAATACACAGACATCTTAAACAAAACGTTCGAGTCCTTTGTGTGGTTTTAGGTGCATTTTTTTTCTTTGTGTCTGGCAAGATAGTCTACTTTTGCTATATCTGGTAGAAGGTTGCTATTGTAGGCATTTTCCTTTTTGTAGGAACCACCAATTTCCTCACTGATGGACATCTCAGCACAAATATTGGTGGATGACATCAAATGATGTTCCACCAAATTTGACCTGTTTTGAAGCGTCTGTGAGGGAAGAATTGGGATGAATATGGTAGTGGTCCAGAATCCCCGTTGTCTATACTACTGAACTTTATTGTTTGCAAAAATAATAGGTACACATTATTGCTGTAAACTAAAGTACATGATTGTACATGCACATTTACACATATGAGTTTGCAAGGTGAAATGTTTTCATACCCATAATCCATTCAGATATGATAATTCAAGGTGATTCCACTGATTTTCAAGGAGGCACTCCCTTGCTGGTTTGAAACCCAGTCCTTTTCTTTTTTTTTACACTAGTTGGTATCCAGTGATTGGGTTATTAGAATGGTACCGACTGGCTAACTAAAAACTGGAGTTTTGTTTTCCCTCTGGATTAACCATTTCAAGTGTTTGTAATCACAATTTAATTTACAAAATAATATTTCAGATTGACACAGTTTCAGCAGGAGAATATGACATTGAAAGTCAGCCTTAAGAATGCCAAGAAGAGACTCAAGGTCGGTATGATAGAAGTACAATGGTGTCATGGGTACACACCCATCAATTAGCATTAGCTTACTACATATTTATGGTTGAGTGATGTAAGCCATCTTCAGATTTAAGCACACTCATCATTTTGCAATCTGAGTAAAAGTGTTTTGAATCATTGATACATTTAATGAGTCCATGATCTCAATATATGTGCTGTAAGCTTTTATTCCAGATGATATGACAGTGTTGACAGCGTTGCAGAGGGTTACCATCGACACCAATCAGGAAATTGCTACAGTTACAAAAAGATAATAACTTGTATTATCCATATGGTGAAACATAACAAGTATCATATATATCATATGTACACACGTGCACATATGACTTTTGCCTAGCAACCATTTTTTCTGTATTTCTTCGTCTGTGACGTCATTAAACAATTGAATTGGTCGTATGGTACTCTTGCTTGTGTAATAATCTTTATATATTGCCAACAAATATTTCAATCTAAACACATGAGGTGAAATAAACACATTTTCCTAGCCAAAGTTAGCTGATAGCAAGAGATTTTATTAATGCTTCAATCAATTTGAAAACCAGATCAATTCTACCCGGATCTTCATGGGTCTCAAATTTCAGAGTTAAAGAATACAATATTAATTCTACGTGTGAAAAACTTGAAGGCTCTGTTACAGAACTTCATAGTGATCTAAACGCCATGAAACAAAACTATGATATGATGTATGAAGACATCGACACACTTTCAGGCAAGGTTGATACTCTGTTTGATCACAGGTCAAGAATTTGTAATGAACTAGACAGACTTGAGTCAGTATTATAGTGGTTAGAGCGCCCGCCCGGAGAGCGGAAGGTCACGGGTTCCATCCCCGGTCGTGTGATACCAAAAGACGTTAAAATATGGTACTTGTTGGTCTCTGTCTGGCTCTCGGCATTAATGGGTACAACAAGGACTGGTCGGCTCGGAGTCAGTATAATGTGTCTGAGTGGGGTATTCAAGCTTAACTGCGGCATGGTATCTCAGTGAGCTAACACTATAAAACCAGCTTAGGTCTGGGCTAGTACAAGCAGCCGCACATACACATACACACGCATGCATGTCGTCATATGAGCGAAATATTCTCAAGTAGGACGCCTATTTGCATGTACCAATCCACCCCAGCGATTGGCGTTTCTTCAGGTATATTTTCAATGGTATCCATTACCAGTTGGAGCTACTCCCATGTGGAATTTCTTCAGCCCCATGGCTTTTCACACAAATACCCAAGCCAATAGCAGCCTACCTACACCAGAGATTTCACCAGAGATATCGTAGTGGACGATAGAGTCGAATGTGTTATGAGGCATCTCCTTGATCTCAGGGCGGTGATCCACCGACCAACACAGTTGGCATATCAACAATCTGGAGTTGGAGCCAGTCGTTTTTGTAGTCATGCCTTCAGCAAGCTGAACTCATCATATCAACAGATGATACCAGGGTGGTCTGGCGTCTTCACAACCAGGGAACGAGTCATTCTCAATCCCTGCTGTGTCAGACATTTCGTTTTTTTCATCTCGTTGATCGCCTAGACTTGAAATTCATTATCCAGCATATTTCGGGCTGCAGAAACATTTCCAGACCTGACAGGATAGCGCCCATGACATGGAAGCTACACCCAGAGGCGTTTGACTTCATATGTCGCCTTCTCGGCCATCCCAATTTAGACTTGTTTGCCACCCGCCAGAACTTCTAGATCCGAGCCTACTCCGGTTCCAGACCTCAAGCGTGGGCAATGGACGCTGTCAGTGTCCCTTCGGAAAACCTAAGCGCGTACGCTTTTCCATCACCGGTACTTCTTCCCAAGGTACTTCAAAAGGTCAGAGCGACTCACCACCTCTCTCTGATTTTGATCGCGCCGATGAAGAGTTGGTTCGTGGATTTAAGAAGGCTCGTCACCAACGACCCTCTAAAGCTTCCGGAGTGGCCAAATCTACCGATACACCCGCACATTTCTACTGATACACCCCAGATCAGTTTCATCTGCATGCCTGGTGCATTTAAAGGGCTTTAAACGCCAAGGTATATCCAGCTAGAGCTGCTAGGGCCATAACTTTGGCGCACAGACCCTCTACTCGAGGTTTATATGATGACAAATGGAGATCCTTTGAGAGGTTTTGCAAGGACAAACACCAGGATCCTGTTACTGCATCACCTCAATTCTTGGTTGAATTTCTTCTGTTTCTGTGTAATCACAGACACCCCAGGGGTAGTACCATTACGACGTAGCTCTGAACTCGGTGTTAACTGTTCCAGAGGACTGGAAGATGACCAAGATTCCGGAATTGCAGGCTTTTTTGCGCTCCTTCCGACTAGAGGACCAGAAGGCATAGTTCAGGCCGCCTGCTTGAGACCTCAGTGTGGTGCGTTGGTTGTTGCGGGAGGCACCGTTCAAGCTGCTTCACGCCATATCTTTTTACAACCTCACCAAGAAGACAGCTTTTTTGCTTGCATTAGCCACAGCAGCTAGGGTGAGTGAGCTGCATGCATTCGATGTCACCCAGGTTCGTTTTAAACGTACCCCACACAGAGCTATCCACCTAGGACGGTGCTGGGACTTCATAGCAAAAAAAAACTCCCAGGACAGCCCGACAGGTCTTTCACTATTCCACCTTTCTCTTTGACTGTGGGATCTGAAGATGATGCAGAACTTCATTCATGCCCGGTCCGTGCACTTCGGTGTTTTCTTCGTTGGTCAGGGGCTCATCATGGTTCTAGAAAATGGCTCTTCATTCCAGTCTCCAAGACATACAAGGCAGAAGATAGTCATAACACTTTAGCGTTATGGTTGTGAACCACCCTCTCTCAGGATTATGAAGCCGCCAACTTGGACCCTCCTCGGGCAAACAACCTTCACGAGATCAGAGCGGTATCCTCCACTATGGCCCTTCACAGTAATTGTTCCATTAGATCCATTGTGGAAGGATGCTTTTGGAAGTCTGATACAGTCTTCGTCATTCACTACTTGAAGGACGTGGCGCTAGAAGATGTCGAGGGCGTACACAGTTTTGGTACCCTGGTGGTGGCACAGCAGGTTACCAATCTCAAAAGCCATTAACTCCGAGGCAGTCCAGAGCAAGCCTTGTGACTCTTTTGGTGTACATCACCACAGACAAGCGGGTTACATGCTGTTTCAGATTTTAGCGTATGCTTTTTTCTCTTACTGCCAGGCTACCTGGATGCCTTCCATCCCTCAAACTCTCGTTTATGCTGACAGGAATGCTCTATGGGATTACCGATCATTGGCCACGACTGCTGACAGCTTATCTCCGGCGATGTGGGTGGTTTCTTTTTCTCAAGAGTATCCCATCTGAAGGTTTGCCCGCCTCCATACCATCGGATACAGAAGCATTAAGGAGTAATGCAGGATAAGGTAAAAAATCGCAGTGTGATGGCAATATGGCGGATCGCTAAGTTGGCACAACTTCTCTTCAACCTTTCCATCGCACAGCTTTGTCTTGTCAAAGGAAACAGTAAATGCATTAAGGAGTAATGCAGGATAAGTATACAAATAAATAAAATATCTAGATTTTACTAGTATGTGCAAAAGTATGCACTATAATTCAATCATGAAGAGCCTCCACATTAATCAAACCTGACCTCCCGAATTGATTGGCATCGACTCGACAAGGAGAATCTGTTCTTTTATTGGTATCTCCTTTGGCAAGGAGATCGATGTCATCCATGTGAAAGAGATGAGTAAGTGGTGTTGGGGATCTGTGCTGAGGAGGTCCGGGATGGTAACCCGCCTCTTCATTGAGCTGAAGGCTCAAAGGAGTTAAAGACAAGCAAAAAAGCAAAGGACTGAAGGAGTCCAAAGTCGATAAAGCTGAGTCGACAAGCAACTCATTAAAGACTTAAGTAAATCAAGTACCGGTAGTTGCTCAGGGAGGTCAATACAATGAAAAGATTTCCTTCAGAATCCATTCATGAGGGACAGAGGTGTATGCTCTTTTGTAGTAAATCCAGCACATGGATAGGTTGCGGTGATATGTTTTAGCCTCTTCCAAAATCATTTTCTGTACAAGAAGGTTATCCTTGCACCCCCAACATCCCTTTCTTGCCCCCTTCTGCTCTCTATAAATTATATCATTGGAAGAGCAGTAAGATGACACGAGACTTGTCAAACAGCCTGTGAAGATTATATATTGTGTATTCAAACACGTGATAGGGTAAAAGTTTTTGGGATCAGTCAAGTCTCCTTTTTTGGGAAGGAGTATTGTGCGACCTTTGCAGAACCATGGAGGAACATCACCTGTGTCCATGAGAGAATTGAAACAGTGAAGTAATGGTGTTTGGACACAGGGGAATAGTTTCCAATACCTGTTTCGAATGCCATCAGGCCCTGAGGCTGTATTAGATTTGAGCTTTTTGATAACACTTTTCAGACACTCTGGTGAGATGTAACAGACAAACGACCTAAAGTAATGCCATTGTAGCAGGCCATTTCTACCCCGGTCTAAACTTTCCCCGGGGAGAATCTGGCCTAGGCCAAACTTTCTCCGGGGAGGTTTTGTCCTAGGATATTCTTACCCCTGGGAAGTTTGGGCTAGGCTAAAGTTTTCCCCCCTAGGCCAAACTTTCCCCCCTGTTTAAACTAGGATATTTTGTTTTGTTTTCTATGAAAAGTGGGGAGATTCTGGCCTAGCTAGGCCACTTCTTCCCCACAATTGCTCTTACATCAAAAGGGGGAAGATTCTGACCTAGCTAGGCTACTTCTTCCCCACCCTTGCTCTTATAAACCGACAATAGTTTTGACTTATATTTTGGTACACATTTTTGGCAAATAGTCCATTTTTGCCTCTGAATTGGGTGTAGTGATTTGAATGCATAAATGTTTGAAAGGCATATATCTCTAAATCCATCCTGCTCCTGCCGCCATTTCTATGAAGACACATTGCATTAGTTCTTCATCTGTCCTCCATAAGATGTAAACATTCAATCACACATTTGATAAGATGTAATATATAC